CGCACTCTTAGGAGCGGACTTCTTGTGGATGTCAAACTCCTTGGCTGCGTCCGCTTCAGGCTCGCGCAACATCTTCACTTTGGGGCCACGGGGGTGCCTCGGGGATGCCTCCAACACGCCGTCTGGGGGGGCAAACTTACCGGACCGTCAGTTCCGGCTTCGGGTTTCTGCATCCACCCGACACGGGCAGCCCTCTTTGCCTGCAAGCGACGGGATGGGCACCATTTCTCGTCACTCTGGACTTGATGCCGTAGCCGCCGCTGTCGGCCAGGGCCCGGTCCTGGGCCGAGGGACGGCGCAGGGAAGGCTCCTAGGCTCCTGGAACCCTGCGGGGGCGGAGGAGGGAGGGCGGAGCTTTTCCCCTCGTCCGAGGCGCCTCTTCCGCTTTCTCCGCAGGGATGATGCCGATGATCAAGCAAAAGCCGCCTTCCTGGCTCTTGATGCACCTCGAGGTCAAGGCTGGCCGGGGCGCTGGCGCTACCGGAATAAGACACTGCAGCGGCGTGCACAGCGGCATGCACGGCGGCCCACAACACGACGGTCCCAACTTCGACGGCTTTTCAAACTCGCTATAGCGAGGCCTAGGCCCGCGGATTCCTCCTGCGAGCCCAGGTGCCAGCGCAGGATTCCCGTGGACGCCGTCTCCGCACTGACGAGCCTGAGCCGAGCGGTGTCGGGGCCTTCGGGGCGTCCGGAAACTCGAAAGCTGGGCTGCCGTGCACGTTTCTAGCTGAGACACCCATCAAAACCGGATCAGCCCTTGGCTTACTTAGGTCCAGTGAGCGAGCATGTTGGGTGTTCTGCCAGCCCAAACTCGCAGTTCCCGAAGCCTTCAAACACCCGAGCCTGGGGCTCTCTAGCTGCCCTGCAGTCGAGCGACAATCTGATAAAACCATCATAGCCTGGTCTGTGAGACGTTGGCTTCTGAAAGCATGCTGGCTCGAACCCAAGGTGCACGTAATCAACTGCCAGGCCGCGCGACTAGAACTGCATTCTTGCACTACACTTAAAGGTCCGTCGCTTCCTGCTGATGTTTTAGTTTCATTAATTCCTGCATGTACCTCTTGGGATCGATGCGGCCTTTCTTCGGCTCAGAAATCATCTTGACGACAAATGAAGTCATGTGCAGCACGGCGTATGACGTATGCAGCATGGTACAACGAAGACGACATCTGAAACTAGGACTCCCGCTCCATCCCAAGGAGGCCGGAGCTGACCTACCAGAAGCTGAATCCCTCGCCAAGGTCCGACCTCAAACTCCATCGACGAACCTTTGCCTCTGCCTGAGGCCCAGCCCGAAGCCCCGACGGCTACGGCTACGGCCGCTTACCATGCCCAGTGGCCTTTCACTTCCGCTTCGTCGCCATCGAATTTCCAGTCGTGTCGCCGGCCGTGCCTCGGAGACCGCAGGGCAGCGAGGCGACGGAGCATTGGAGCACTTCAGACCCGAAGTCGAGGTGGGATCCTCTGGCGGCTCTTGTTGCGAGTGTACCGAGCTGCTGCAGTCATGGAGTCTCTGAAGTAAGCATGGGAACAAAGCAGCCTTGTCGTCTGCCTGGAGGTTGTAATGAAAGCACACTGCCACACTTCAAGAGATCTGCAAGAAGGTCGCTTTCTAGGGCAGGGATTGCAGGCACTTTACGCTAGCATTCTCTCCCATGCTATTGACGCTGTCACACGGTTCCTGCCGCGGCCCGGCTGACACGAGTCTACGATCCACCTGTGAGAGAGGGGCTTTCGCCAAGCGACTCCTTGTCGAAGGTGGCATACACTTCCTTCCGGGCGACCTCCGGCTGCTTTTCGTGCTCTATTTCAGGGGCTTACGGTTGTTTTGGGGTTGAGGGAAGCTTCGTGGAAGCTTCAGGTTCACATGGGGCTCACGCAGCGGGTCAGTATCTGCTCCAAGCAACAATAAACTGCCATGTCCATTTGCGAATTCTCAAACTGCAGGGTGCTTGCTTGCTCAGAAGGTATCCGCGGGGCCTTGAATCCGCTACTTGGGACGAAATCCAAATGTGCAAGTAACTTGATCTATGTGCGCACCCTCGTTTTTCAATTCTTGGCCTCAGTTTTGATTTGTCGGGATGCTGCCTCTCCGTCGTGCAGGGGAAATCATAAGAGGAAAAAGATCAGGAGAGAGTTGTATCGACATGCTGTTTTCATGTACACTGACTGGTCCGCCTTGCGCACTCCTGCTGATGTGCGCGTAACGTCTTGCACAAGCCTGGCTTATGCTTCATGCAGTACTTACCGGTGAACATGTTCGAAGCGGGAAGAACGGAAAAAGGGTCTCCGCTCCAATAGATGCATGGCGTGCCACCCGCCTCGGGCAAAGGGTCGAAGAGGAGCTCAGTGGGCGCGGGAATGCTGTTGCTGTCGGTGTCCCAGACACTCGACGTCTTCACCGGTGCGGCTTTGGGCTTGGGCCTGGAGGCTTTCGGAGGCGATGCAGAGGTGCCCCAAGGGTTCAGGCGATGCAGGGCGTTCCAGACACCCGACTGCTTCACACTTGAAGAAGTGCCCTGGGCTGCCTCGAGCCTGCTCTGCTTCTGTGGCGCTGCTGTTTGATCCTGTGGGCTGGGGTGTGCCGTCGCTGTGGCCTGGGCCAGGGCGGCTTGGTGCCTCTTCTTCGCGGCTTCCGCCACCTTCGGGGAGTCGGCCTCCCGATCCGACAGCTCCGCATCCTGGTACTTCACGCTGCCGAGGAACTCCAACCAGCCGCCAAGCACGTGCTCGTTGACCTTTGGCCGTCATTCAAGGCGACCCCCCCGCCCAAAGTATTCACTGAGAGACACAACTCTGTCGGACAAACTGTATAGCAGATGAAAAACTCTCACAAAGTGCCACCTGGGTCACCACCACGGCGAGAAGCTGCGCTCGAGTGATGCCCCGATAGAGCAGCGACCGAGTTTGCAAGTCCTCTGTTGAGCTCCGGATGGCCGAGTCCAAGCCTGCACACACCACAATCATCTGTTCTAGACCGTCCGCCTGCTCCATAGCATCCACGATGAGGCTTTCATGCTTTGTCTGCTGTGGGCTCCGTCCGAGAATTCTTTCTGGGAGGCATGAAAGGGACTCTTCGAACGACTCCAGGCGGAAGGAGCGATGCGATAGCTGCTCGTTCAGGCTCTTCTGCAGAATCGGACGCAGTTGGTCCAGAAAGCCCATATTGGGTGTTAGTATTGCGACTCGGCGGTGTAGTGACACTGCGGGGAAGAGATGCTCGATATACACCACGGCCTTCACGATCTTCATTGCATACGTCTGAAACTTCTTTCCCTGATCTTCGACTTCAAACAGGAAGGTTTTCAGCGGCGGGCCTTCTGTCCCCAAAGACGTCACTGTCTCCCCGTTGTCAGTGTGCAGCTGGAACGAGGCTGCTCCGGCCACTATGCGCTTCGTGCTGCGCACCACCTCGGTCAGCTTGACCCTTTGCATCTCCGGATAGCTGTGGCTAATGGCTGAGGACTGCGACTCGTCTGACAGCAGGAGCCGCCGACGTGCTGCGATTTTGCCTTCAAGCATCTGTCCCACATCGGAGTCGTTGTGCATGTAGCGATGGGACTCGTCACACACTGCAAGGTGAAAGTCTTCGGGAGCGATATTCTCTTGCGTACGGACGATTCGGTCGCCATCGAGTGACGGTGCGCACATGTGGGTGTATGGATGGTGCAGCAGCCT